TATAACGCCTCAGATGTTTTCTTAATGGGTAGGGTTCTTATGGGCCCATATCTCAGGCTGTTTCCTTTGAAAAGGGACTCGCCCTTATTTCTGGACGGAGGCCTTGATGGGCTTATGCCTGTTAATAGGCCCGACAGCTTGAATGAATAACAAGGTTGGATTTAGACATCTAAAAAGGGATTAATAATCGTAGTAAATGTTAGGGCCATTAAAATACGAGTATGGTTGCGTATACGTTCGCGTAACATGACCATGATCCTAAATTAATTCGGAGTATGCGTTCGCGCAACTTCGCTCAATCTTTGCTTAATAATAAAATAGTTTACAAGCTTTTAATTATTTTCTTAGTTCACATAAGTTCAATAAAATCACATATGGCCTTTTAGTAATTTCGTAGGCTAGATAAAAATAATATTTCGTAGAATATCCTTTAAGGCCGTTTAAAATACCAAGTGTGGTTGCGTATACGTTTGCGTAACACAACTACATTTCTAAAAACAAAACCGGAGTATGCGTTCGCGCAACTTCGGCCCAAACACTCTTAATAATAATTAAGCATTACTGATTGTGGACACGTTCGCGTGACATGATTTTTGACGCACCAAACGGGCGGGTATACGTACGCGTAACCCATCTCAAGATAATTTCCTAATTAAAAGCGGTGAAAGAAACAAATGCACATAGGTTTAAAATCAGTAATTAAATAGTTTAATAAGCCAAGTATTATCAAAGCGACCGTGCTAGAACCACGGAACTCGGGAATGCCTAACACCTTCTCCCGGGTTAACAGAATTCCTTACCCGGATTTCTTGTTCGCAGACTATAATAATAGAGTCATTCTTTTCCTCGATTCGGGATTCAAACCCGTGACTTGGGACACCATAAATCTCCCAAGTGGCGACCTGATTTTTATAAAATGAATCCCGTTTCGATTGTCACTTCAAGTTGGAAATAACTCCCTTTATTATACCCTCTTGTCGGGGGTGTAGTAAGGAAAAAAGGAGGTGTGACATACGTTAGAGGTATAGTAGTACTTACTCATTGTTTTATTTTCTTTTTTTAGTTGTTTTATATCTTATATCATTTTATTTGAACTATTTGCTGCAGCATGACCAAAATGGAGATGTGAAAAAAGATGTACAAGGTGATAGTGATCGGAAGCAGGATGCAGTCAATAAAAACATACAAGGTATATTACAATTTGTAATTCTAGATGTCATTTTAGTCTTTTAATCGCACAAGTTAGTCCGTATTATGTTGTTGGATACGTTGTTATAATTAAATGAGCCCCCGGGGGGGGCTTGGTACGAATCAAACTTAGTTTTGTAGTTGAGTGACTGTTGGAGTTTTCAGATACGGTGCAATTGCATCTGTAAGTAAATGGTAGCATGTGTTAGCACGTAGATGCGGCCAACTGATCATAGAAGTGGAAATGGCAAGCAATGATTTGGTTCACAGGTGCGCAAGGTTGGGGCTAGGTGGGCACCTGCGGAAGCGTTGTGTTCCGTAAAAGCGGATGTTTGGGGGCTGGTGTGCGATCTGGCCTTGGTTGCCTGATCCTCAAAGTCTTAAATACAGAATATAGAATATAGTTAATCTTTGCTCCTAAGTCTGGTATTGAAATGTAAAGTTGTATATTAAAAAATATTTATATTTTTTCTGACATATTAATGTATTTTTTATGTAGCATCTGGTTTTAATGATGTTGGATTTCAAGATGAAGATGAATGGTTAAAGATGTGTGATGTAGAGGCTCATAAATTAACAGCTGAGGATTGTAAACAAACAAGAAATGAAGATGTTCCAGCTTCAGAGGTTTATAAAAAATCATCAACTAAGATGATTCCAGATCATGAAATTGAGAAGACTGACGCTCAAGTTGATTGTCAGATACATAAAATAACTTTCGAGTTTGTTAATAAGTCCATAAGTGTTGCTCCTATTCCAAAATACTCAACACATGAAGAGGCTGCTACTTCTTCCTTTGCAATTCAGTCAAGTTTAAAGTGCCAAAGTTTATGTAGATTTTGGACGTACTCTCCGTAAAGNTATTCCAAAATACTCAACACATGAAGAGGCTGGTACTTCTTCCTTTGCAATTCAGTCAAGTTTTGAAGGTGCCAAAGTTTATGAGATTTTGGACGACTCTACTGAAGAAGATGCAACAAGAATGAAAAAACCTCTTGTACCACGTGTTATTGTGAAAGGGGATCACCCGTTTAAAATATCAATTATTGAAGAAATTCATGTATCAATTAGAGATGACTTCAATAAGTTTGTTCAATCAAAGTTAATCCAAACTTGCAGGTAACTTTATATATATCTGACTTATATTTTCATTGAGTTTCTTTGTAATTGTAGTTTGGACTATTCTATTTATATCTTCATCAAAAATTTACAGGAAGAAGGGTTATGAGAAGAATGATGATATACTGGATGAAGAGTTTGATCTAGGAATTGAATTTATAGCTAAGAAGACGGTTTTTTGAACTCATTATTCTTGTATAGGTAGCAATGCAACGGTATGTGAACATACATTACTTTTTTTGTTTTATTTTTGTATAAATATATGTCTGTATATTCAATTGATGTCTGTTTTCTTTTTGTAGCATATTGAATGTTATATTCTATTACCTCCGGAAGAAAGCAAAATATGGAAAACAACTACCGACAACTATTTCAGTACTACCATTCAAGAAGTGTACAGTAAATCAAATATGGATAGCATGAGTGTAAAAAATCAAATTTTTGAATTGACAAAGACGTTAAGAGAGTATGTACTTGGGTTTAACATTCTTTGTAACACCAAATGGCTTTTCGTGGATTATGTTCTCGTGCCAATCAATATAAAGATGCATGGCATTGGGTGTTGGGTGTTTTATCTTTGCATGATGGGTGTATATATGTATATGACTCGATAAGATCCTCAAGACATGATACTGTAGTTCATAAAGCTTTGAACTCATTTGCTGTAATGATACCGTTGTTGCTTAACACTATGACAATTTATAAGCAAAGAAGTGACATTGCAATGGACAAACCATATTATTTGGAAAAACAGGATCTAAGTGATCCATTTCCTGTTATTTCAGTTGATAACTTGCCTCAACAGGAAAAAGCGTAAGTATTTTCCTGTGTTTATCTTTCTCCTTTATATTACTTCAGATTTTAATCCTTTATTGTTTTATCTTATACTTTCTTAATATGCGTTTTATTGTAGTGATTGTGGTATATATTGTTCTGCATTTGCGGAGTATTTTATTGAAGGGAAGAAGATACCATTAGACAAGAACATCTTTGATCCTACGCAACATTGTTATATAATTATGGTAAGAAGAAGCAGCTAGAATATCTGGTTAGTGAAGATGAGGCAACTGGAAGACTAAATAAACCTTCTATTTCAAAAAGGCGCAAGATAAACACAAAGCAATAGTTTTTTCTTCTTACTTGTAATTGACTACATATTTTTGATTGAAAAAGACTACAAATTTTTTGTTTCCTGTATATTTGGTTGTAGATCCATCATTTAAATAATATTTTCCGGTATTGCTCCCTAGATATTATGCTTGAAATGCTACTTATGAAGGCACATAAGCCAATATATTACACTGGAGTTACAAATTGTTAAACTATAATCTTCAGTATTTAACACTGAACTTGAAAATTCTAGAATTGTTTACTTGAAATTAGTCCAATTTTTGTTACTCCCTATAAAATATGCTGCAAATGCTACTTATGAAAGTATATAAGCCAATATATTATAATGAAGAAGTGAAAAATAGTGGAAAGTTGGTATCTAGAACAATTTACAGAATTAAATAATTTAATATTTTGTTTCCTGTATTTTATATTCGAGGTATACATTTCTAAACTACTAAGTCCTGTATTTAAATCTGGATGTGAAATATACATATTTTTCACCTTAAATTAGTCCAATTTTTGTTACTCCTTGTAAAATATGCTAAAAATACTACTTATGTAGGGATATAAGCCAGTATTTTATAATGGAGAAGTGGAAAAAATTGGAAACTTGGTTTCTGGAATAAGTTACTGAAATTAAATAATTTAACATTTTGATCCCTGCATATTACACTGGAGATATAAATTGTTAAACCATAATCTCCAGTATATAATACTGAACTGTTGAATCATAATATTCAGTATTTAATACTGGACGTTAAAAATCCAGAAGTTTTTACCCTAAATTAGTCCAATTTTGGTTACTCCCTATAAAATATACTGCAAATGCTACTTATCAAGCCAGTATATTATAATAGAGAAGTGGAAAATAATGTAAACTTGGTATCTAGAATAATTTACTGAATTAAATAATTTAATATTTTTTTCCTCTATTTTACACTGGAGGTATATGTTACTAAACTACTATGTCCTGTATTTATTTCTGGAGTTGGAAAATACATATTTTTCACCTTAAATTAGTCCAGTTTTGGTTATACCCTATAAATTATGCTGGAAATACTACTTAAGTAGGGATATAAGCCAGTATTTTATAATGGAGAAGTGTAAAATAGGGAAAACTTGGTTTCTGGAACAAGTTACTGAAATTAAGTAATTTAATATTTTGATCCCTGTATATTATGCTGAAGGTATGTTATGAGAAACTATAATGTCCAGTAATTTATACTGGATCTGCACAATCAGATTTTTTACACTAAGTTTGCTGATGCAACTTTTGTTGGAGTTCTAATTTTAGTTGCTTCCTGTAAATTATGCTGGAAAATCTAGTAATTAAGCTATATAGACCAGTATATTATAATGGAGAAGGGTAAGACAGTGGAAATTTTGTATCTAGTATAATTTGCTCGAAATAAATAAATTAAAAGTTTGTTTCATGCATACTATACTCCTATTAGCAAATCAAGAAACGAAAAAAATAAACAATAATAATATTTTGAAAAACAAGAATACCAAACTAATTATTCAGAATGCAACCATATTGTATATAATCACATGAGCCAATGCAACCATATTGTATATAATCAGTCATTTTTTTTCCTGTATTTTCTTGCATAAGGATGAGCTACAACAGAATTTGTACAATTTGTTCTGTTATGCCCATATTTTTTGCAACGACCACATCTTGTTTCCTTCTTGAATTCTGTACCGGTACCGGAAACATGTCGATTCTTCTGTCTTCTTCCTAGCAGTACTTTTGCATCTGGAGGCTTAGTGATTACCGATTTAATATTGTCTGGTATAACCCATGTTGTTGAATCACCTACAGAATTTACTTGCCCTTCATATATTTTCAACCAAAAGTCCCTTAAATAATAGGCTGAGCAAAAGGCTGATTTCTTCGGATATATACTATCAATTGCAGCAATTGCATGTTCACACGGTATCTCATCTTGCTGAAATTCAGAACAATCACATGTTCTTTTGTCTAGATCAACAATAAATTCCATACCCCCTTCTTTGACATTGAATTTGAGTCGATCAATAGGCAATACTCTAAATGTAAAAGCTGGTTTAATTTTATCTTCCAATGTTGCTTCTGCCGAATTTGATAACTCGTGGAATATTCCTTCTGCAGTTGCCGTTCTTTCATAAAACCAGCTTTGCAATTTTTCTTGTATGAAGTCCATCATTGTTAAAAGTTGCAATTCTCTTGCACGTCTCAAAACATTATTCATAGACTCAACAATATTTGTTGTTAACATATCATATCGTCGTCTTGGACAATGTGAACGAGCCCATCTTCCTGGTGGCTCCTCCATCAAATAATTAAATGTTTTCTTATCAACAGCAGCTATTTTGGACATGAAGTCATCAAATTCTGATTGAAGGTATACTCTTGTAGCACTTTGAAAGAGGTTTAGTACAGTGTTTCTCACTCTTCTTTGCTTTAGATTCTTTTCTAAATGATATATGCAAATACCATGGTAGCACTCAGGGAAAACTTTTGCGATTCCATTTGCAATGGCCTTGTGTCGATCTGACAAAAATATTAAATCTTTACGAATCCCAATTGCTTTTCTTAATTCTCTGAAATACCANAAATCTTTAACGTAATCCCTAATTGCTTTTCTTAATTCTCTGAAATACCATTCATATGATTCGTTATTCTCTGAATCCGCTACCCCAAATGCTATAGGGAAAATCTGATTATTTGCATCTTTTGTAACAACCACTAACAGAACACCTCTATATTTATTTTTTAGAAATGTTCCATCCACAGCAATAAGTGGTCTACAATACCTCCACCCAGCAATTGATGCACCATATATAAAAAACATATAAACAAACCTGGAAAAGTAAATAAAATTTAGTTATACCATATGACAAGCTGAATACAAATAACATACTGGACAACATGTTTAAACACGAAACACTTGCATTATAATATACAAAAATCAAACAAAACTCAAGTATTATATACTGGGTTAAAGACAATAATACAAAAACAAGACAAATAATCACTCGAAAAAAGTAAGATCAAATAAAATAAAGTTGTAGTTTAAACCGAACTCATTCAGTATAGTATACTAGATACAAAGCTTACACACAGCACAAATCCCGTAAAATATACTGGGATGAAACAAGACTAAGCTATATGATAAAATTCATCCAGTATGACATACTGGAAAATAAACGTACACCAGAGAGACTTCCAGTATAACTGTAACGATCCGACCGGTCGTTTTATGGAATTTACGCTCCGATCCCCTAGTAACTGCTTCCCCTAAGTTCTTTTTTCTGCTATTTTGGTTTGCCGGGACATTCGGTTTTCAGTTTCGGAGAGCTTTGGGAAACTTAGTCCCTAAATGAGAGCTTAGGTGTTGGAAAGTGGCTCGCAGTCGGAGCATTGTGAATACGGCCTCGGAATGGAAATCAGATGGTTCTGTTAGCTTCGTTAGGTGATTTCGGGATTGGGAGAATATTCGGAATGTATTTTGGGGGTCCGTAGCTAAATTAGGCTGAAATGCCGAAGTTTGAATTTTTGAAGTTTCCGGTCCGATAATGAGTTTTTGATCCGAGGGTCGGAGGAATTCCGGAAGCTGCAGTAGCTCCATCATGTCATTTGGGATGTGTGTGCAAAATTTCAGGTCATTCGGACGTGGTTTGGTTAGGTTTTTGATCGAAAGCGTATTTTGAAGATTTGGAAATTCATAAGCTTGATTTTTGGTTTGATTCGTCGTTTCGATGTTGTTTGATGTGCTTTGAAACTTCGAGCGAGTCCGTGTTAGGTTATATGACTTGTATGTGTGATTAGACGGGGTCTCGGTGGCCTCGGGTGTGTTTCGGATGGGCTACGGATCATTTTCCTCCTATTTTGAACTGCTGTAATGCTGCTTCTGGTATCCTCTTTCGCGTTCGCGAGCATACCTTCGCGTTCGCGAAGCTTTGTTGATGACTAGCTGGAATTCCTTCTTCGTGTTCACATTTAGATCCTCGCGTTCGCGACGCTCTGTCTCTCCCTTCATCGCATTCACGTTCCCCTTATCGCGTTCGCGTAGTTATGTCGTTCCACTCTTCGCGTTCGCGTAGCAGTTCACGCGTTCGCGAAAAGCATTCCTTGGGCCATTCAAATTTCCTTCTTCGCGTTCGCGGACGCACTGTCGCGTTTGCGTTGTGTAATCTGGGCAGCCTTTACTTTTCTTCTTCGCGAACGCGAGACATCCTCCGCGTTTGCGATGCTTTACATATCTGGGTAGAATATAAGTTTCCAAAATCGAGGGTTTATACCATAATTCATATCTTTGACTTGGGAGCTTGGGAGATCACGATTTTTGAGGGATTTTCACCTGGGCAACTTGGGTAAGTGATTCTTACTTGGGTTAGGCTAATTTCCATGAATCTTTCCTTAAATTCATCCTTAAATTTTGGAGTTTTGGTAGAAATTGGGAGAAAAGTTCTTAGACCTTTAATTGAGGATTTGAGGGGTCATTTGGACTCCGATTTCAGTGTTCTTGGTATGTACGAACTCGTGTGAGTACGAGGTTTCTGAAAATATAAATTTCGCTCGATTCCGAGACGTTGGCCTAAGGGGCGTTTTGGTCATTTTACATAATTCCACGTATTAGCTTAGAATTTAATTGTGGAATCAACTACTTGAAGTGTTATTTACATTCTGAAATTGAATAGAATAGATTTGGGCCACTTGGAGTCGAGTACTCGTGGCAAGATTGTGGTTTCTAGTTGATTTGAGCCGGTTCGAGGTAAGTATCTTGCCTAACCTTCTGTGGGGGACTTCCCCTTAGGATTTGAGTCTTCTCTGTTAATTGTATTCCTTGTACGCGAGGTGACGAGTGCGTGCTCGGATTTATTTGTGGAAAATTGTCCCTTTTAGGCTCCTAGATCCTTGTAATCACCGAATATGAAGTTGTTCTTGATGCGATTGAGTTCCCTATTATTAGATTCACCATTACATGTCTTACTTGGAATTTATTTGCCCTTTTTGGCTTATTCTTGTTGCCTAATTGACTTTTACTTGTTTCACTGTAGACATTACCCTTCTATAGTCACCTTATCATTCCTAACTACTTGTCTTTATTTGGAAGCATTATTTTCTATCTCTCGTGTAATTAATTGGTGTTAATTGGAAAGAAGTTGGATATCCTATGTTTAATTGATATTTTCTTAAATTGTAATTTATTTGATTCATGTTAACTTCCTTGTTGTTGAACTTAGTATTATCAAATCGTTGTTTCATATTATTTCTCCCTTGTTGAGTTGCTCTTATTGCGCTTAGTATTTCTCTGTTACGGTTATTCCTTGTGAGTTAGTTGTACCGTCTTTTGGTGAACGGAAATACCTGAGTTGATTCTCTTGCTTTGTTCCTATATACATTGTCATTTGTTGTGTTGTACTTCAGACTGTGATGCACGAGGTTTCTGCCGTGCGGTTGTTGAGACTGTGATGCACGAGGTTTCTGCCGTGCGGTTGTTGATATTGTGATGCACGAGGTTTCTGTCGTGCGACTGTTGGTACTATGATGCACGAGGTTTCTGCCGTACGGTTGTTGAGACTGTGATGCACGAGGTTTCTACTGTGCGGTTGTTGAGACTGTGATGCATGAGGTTTCTGTCGTGCGGTGGTTGATACTGTGATGCACCAGGTTTCTGCCGTGTGACTGTTGGTACTGTGATGCACGAGGTCTCTGCGGTGCGATTGTTTTTGAAGGGTTGCACGAGGTCTTTGTCGTGCTATTGTTGCTATTGATGTGTTGCACATGCGGCGTAATAAGGCGGGATATGTTATATGCTTATATGTGGGTTGTGCATGTGGCAGAATAAGGTGGGAACATTGTGATGCACGTGTGGCGAAATAAGGCGGTGCTTATTATATTATTATTTGCACACGTGGCGAAATAAGGTGGGTTATGTCAGGGGTTGATTGTAAAGAACTGTGACGGCCTATGGAGGCACTCTTATCTTGTTGATATTGTGATTGTGGGTTGCTTACCTGTAGGAGCTTTATCGCTTGGAAGTTGCGAGGAAACATCGTACGTGCGGTCCTTTGTCCTTTTCATGTTTACTAGTGGTAGAATTCTTGTTAAAAATACTTGCACAAGCATACACGTAGTTGGACATCCCCATTAGAAGTGAATTCTTCCGATTTTAGCTAAGGGTAGAGGTACGCCTCCGTTTATCCATTATATATGTGAGAGTGGCCCTAGTTAGCCAGTTAGTTGTCAGTATGACTGTGAGATTGATGGGGCACAGGATGCCAAGTGTTAGATTTCAGATGCTGGGTTTCGTGAGTTGTTGTTTGTCCGAGATTTTGGTAAATTGTGGAAAGAGTTGAATAAGACCTTATGTGATCATCATTGCAGGATACGAGTTATTGACTGTTTCCCCTTGCTGTGTTGTGACCTTGGGATTTGGGGTTGTGTGTTTGCCGTCATTTCGTACCATCATTTATTATATTCTTGTTGTTACTTGTTTCCCTTTTTTCCCCTTATTGTGAATTTGTAGCAATTTTAATCATTTATACAGTCTTTACATATTTATATATTTCGGTTCCACTATTCCTATGATTATACTGTTTATTTGACCGGTAGGTGTCTTGACTGTTCCTCGTCACTACTCCATCGAGGTTAGTCTTGATACTTACTGGGCACCGCCGTGGTGTGCTCATGCTACTCTTCTGCACATTTTTGTTGTGTAGATACAGGTACTTCCGCTCAGTTCTGTCAGCCTTGGAAGGAGGCGAACCGGTAGAGACTTCAAGGTATATCTGCTACGTCCGCAGACCGAGGAATCCCTTTCCAGCTTTCTGTAATAAGTATAGCTTTTCCAGTATTTCTCATTTGTATAGATATTCCTGAGTCAGAGCCTCTTATATATCCTCTTAGCTTGTGATTTGTGAGTTTCCGGGTTTTGGGAATGTCGTTAGCTTCGAGAATTGTTGTGGTATGTGCCGAGCGGCACCTTAAACACCGTTTTTTTTAGTTAAGTTTTATTTACTTTCTTCTGCAATTATGGTTTATCTTCCGCATTGTTAGGCTTACCTAGTCGCAGGGACTAGGTGCCGTCACGACATGTTCACGGAGGGCGAACTGGGGTCGTGACAAGTTGGTATCAGAGCTCTAGGTTCATAGGAGTCACAGATCACAAGCCGGTTTATTAGAGTCTTGTGGATCGGTACGGAGACGTCTGTACTTATCTGCGAGAGGCTATGTAATCGTTAGGAAAATTCCACTTCATTTGATTTCCCTGTCGTGCGAGAATTTTTACATCTACAATCCTAAACCTCCGTCTTCTATTCTCTCACAGATGGTGAGGACACGTACAACCCGAGGTGATCACGCACCCGTGCCCCTTGCTGCAGCCGTCGGAGGATGGGGCCGGGGTAGAGTTCGAGGACGCACACGTGGTGCAGCGATAGCACCTGTGCGAGCTGCCGCCGAGGTACCACCAGTAGATCCAGCCGGAGTCCAGGCACCTCATACGCCTACCACTATTACTACTCCAGCCCTTCAAGAGACTTTGGCACAGTTCATGAGTATGCACACCACTTTGGCTCAGGCAGGATTGCTTCCCCTTGCTGCAGCCACATCCCAGGCCGGGGGAGGAGCACAGACTCCCGCTGCCCGCACTCCTGAGCAGCGAGCACATGTTGGGCAGGTCCCAGAGATTATTCCTGCACCGCCTGCGGCACCAGTTCAGTCCGAGGGCATGGCAGCGGCTTCCGAGCAGGAGCAGATGAGATTAGAGAGGTTCAAGAAGTATGATCATGCGGTGTTCAGTGGATTAGCATCAGACGATGCCTTGGGGTTTCTTGATGAGTGTTACCGTATTCTCCATACTATGGGTATCTCTGGATCGAGCGGGGTTTCTTTCACTACTTTTTAGCTTCGAGGAGCCGCCTATGATTGGTGGCGCACCTATGAGTTAGACAGCCCAGACGAGGCAACTTCACTGACTTGGACCAAGTTTTCAGATATGTTTCTGAGAGAGTTTGTTCCTCAGAGCCTCAAAGATGTATGGCGCGCGGAGTTTGAGCATTTGCGCCAGCATGCTATGACGGTCTCGGAGTATGCTGTCTGTTACACCAGTTTGGCTAGACATGCCTCAGCCTTGGTTTCTACTGTTCGCGAGAAGGTTCGCCGGTACATTGAGGGGCTTATTCCCAGCATCAGGTCCAGTATGGCTCATGAGTTAAAGATGGACATCTCGTATCAGCAGGTGGTGAACATTGCTAGGAGGATAGAGGGTATGCATGCTAGAGAGAGAGAGGGCAGGCAGGGTCATGCGAGAGAGAAAGCAGACGAGATCAGGAGAGAGAGTTTGAGGAGGCGAGGAGGCCTCGTAGACCAGAGAGATATACCGGTCCTTATTTTGGAGGAAGGGTGCATCATGGTAGAGGTTTTGCGGGTCAGCCAGTTCAGTTCGTGCTTCAGGCTTTGCATGGTGACTCAGGTGTTCATGGGTCTCGGAGTACCCGTATCGCACAGTTCCCACCGCCTCGTCAGCAGAGAGGGTGCTTTGAGTGTGGAGATACTAGCCACATGGTGAGAGATTGTCCCAGACTTCGGACCGGTGTGTCCCAGCGAGGTATTCAGGTAGGTAGAGGGCGCCCAAGAGGGGGAGGCCCGACTCGTATATGTGTTTCAGATAGTAGGCTTGAGGCTGGTGCGCCAGTTGAATGTCATTTAGGTACGGATTCGGTTTGTGATAGAGAGGCACTATCTGTGGTTCATCACAGTTCTGCTTATCGGGGTGAGTTCCCTTATTTGTTGTTCCATTTATGAGTGCGTTTCATGATTTGTACTCTGTTTACGTGATTATTCTGTTGGGAGGTCCTATGAGTGATAGCCGTGTCTATCGTGCGTTTCTAGCTGTTGTCGAGAGTTATGAGGCTAGTAGTAAATTCATGTTGTCTGTTTCGGTAGGTTTGATGTGATCTCTGATTATTCTTGGTTACGAGTTGTGATTTCTATGCTCCACCGGTGTGGGAGCCAGCCTGTGTTGTAATTTGT